CCTAAATCATTTTCCAATTATAAACCAGACCCGAACGGTTCAAATATAAAACCGTTTTCTTTTTATATCTTACCCACATAAGAATCTCAGTTTCTAACATTTGTTTAGAAAAGTACAGCATATTTTACTGTAAGTATAACATACACATAAAAATTCTTACTAAAAGATTTGCAGTAGATAAGTTTTTTAAATTCGTAAAATTATTTGAGAAATTTACATTCAAAACGTATTCTGTTTCATAAAAAAATGATTATTGTAACATCAATGATGATTATAATAACATAAACTGTATAATTTGATGATGTTGCTGGAATTCGAAATTGGATTCGTCAATGTTGTTCCGTTTCGAATGAGAAACGCGGAGAAAAGTCGAAACGGTGTGCGCTCAGTGACCGGAAAGCCCCCTTGATTTACGTGCATTCAGGAATGCGGCTCGCTTTAAAACTACGTAAATAAAAAGAGAGAGAAAAAAAACGATGTATATGAAATGTACCACGAGTCACACCATTTCCCAGCACTTTGGGAGAGAGAAAACAAAAAGAAACAACAACTACAAATCACGTTCAGTATAAACAAGTAATAAAGTGTGACCATTACGAAATTTTATGATCGTTTTCGTCTTACGAAACGCGCCTAAATCATAGCGATTTATTTATAATTCATGGTTTAATACAAACTTTGAAATTATTACAAACAAAAAAACTACAAATTTATATTTTTTTTTGTAAATTATAACATGGAAAATTATGGTTGTTTTCTATATTCCACCATTTTGTTACCATTAAATGGATAAGTAAAGATTATAGCATTATTAATCTAAAATATAATGCTATATTTTCCATGTATTTGTTTATAAAGTATTGCGTAAATGTTTACATGAAACTTAATTGACAAGATTTTTTGATTGTGTAGAAAAATTACGACAGCAAATCTAAATTTAGTTGCGTCGTTTTGCGGTTTCAGCAAAATAAATAAATTGTTTAGACGCGTTCTACAATTGTAGATATTGATAACAAAACTAAAGTTGTTCTGAGAATTGGTTAATAAATTATAGACTGAAACAAACAAAGGCATGACGCAATGGCGCTGCCACGTCACCGTGTCTGCTTTTGTTTTGCGTTGTATATATCATAAACATATATTAACACTTCATTCTTAACAGTTATTCACATTCTATAAACCAGATGTTGCATTATTACCAACTCTAATTTAAGTACGTGCTAAAAACTAATTAAGTAACACACTAAAAATAAACTATGACTTATTGAAACGCAATAGTTTTTTGAAAAAATCTAAATTTAACTGCGAATTCCGACGATAATAAATGATTTATTACGGCGATAACGATAAGTGAACGGAGCGTTGTTTGTTTGTAAAATTATGAAAACATATAGAAGAGAAAATATTTACTTATTATAACTATGAAAAATGTAATTATATGTGATGAAAAGTGTAATTTTCCTAAATGAAACATGTCTACGTTTCTTGTCTTTTTCCTTATGATGGAGTACCGGAAATCTAATATTAACTATGCTCAGCGACTGGAAAGTTTTTGGTGAAGATGTGTGCGGCGATAGCGTAAGTGTACAGTTCCGGAAAATGAACAAAGAAAGATGCATGTTTGATACAGAACATTTTCTTTTGTACGTGCATGCAATTTTAATATTCACGAAGTGAATTTTCCGCACATGAAACGTTTGTTTTCCGTTAAGTTTTATTAATTCTTTTACACAAATTGTTGAAAATGTTTAAAAAAAATATATAATTATGAATTTATATAAATCATTCAAGAAACGCTTGTTTTCCTATCATTTTTATAGAATTTAAGCGAAAAAAAACCTCATTTAAATATGAGAAAATTTGTGGAATCCGTTTTGAATGTTCTTAGTAGAAAAATTTGTAAAAGAAAATATTTGATTAAATAAAGGATATATATATTAAAATGCGTCATACTAATCAAAAGTTTGATTTTCGTGAAGTTTTGATGCAATTTTTAGAGCGTATTATTCAATGAAATCCGTTTTTACTGCATGAGAAAAGTCGTAGGCGATTTTGATAAAGTTGTCTTTAAAAAATGCAAAATTTGTTATTTATAGTACAAAAGATATGTTATTTTATTGAATAAGACAATTTTTAAGCGTCAAACACGGAAGAATTTAAGAATCGTATAGATTTTTTTATGTGAATACAATTACGTAAAAACTGTATTAAATTGTTAATATTTAATTAAATAATTAAATAAATTGTTAAATAATCGTCGGATAATTCATGTATTTTTATGTTGAAATTTTATAGGAAAATTAACCGACGAGCGTCAAATAAATTGCGAGATGCGAGAGAATAGCGGTGAAATCAATGTCAGTTGAAGTTCCCGAGTTAAATTGAGAATTTTCCACAAACAACATTGAAAAATTACATAATAAAAGAAATAATCTGATATGGAAATGCATAATAGAAAAATAAATTGAGAAACGCGCAAAACAAATTCCATGCAGCATTTCTCAATCCAATAGAAAATGTCGATTTATTTTATGTAAAACGTTTCGTTTACGTTCTAAATCATACACAAAAATGTCATATAAAATAGAAAAACTTATTGTTACTTATTGGAAACGAGATTTTTACGTTCGAACTTATGAATTTAATGGTAAAATTTTGTAGTAAAGTTCTTCTATATTAAGTTTAGGTTATTTCAAGATAATATATTGTTAATTTCAAATTAAAATTATAAGTTTTTCGTTATATAATATTATATAAATCTTAAATTGCAGAATTTGCGAGTTTAATTGGAAAATACTTGCAAGTATTTACGTACTTTATATGACTTACATTACTATTGAATTCAGCAATTTTCATCCATCCATTCAAGAAACGCTTGTTTTCCGCTCATTTTTATAGAATTTTTACATGCTTACAGCTGGATGTAATTGTTGAAAATAATTATGTAATTGCTTGAGTAAGGACTTTAAAAAAAATCATTTTAAGGGAAAATAACCTTAGGTAAATATGTGAAAATTTGTGCAATCCGTTGCGTTTTATGGAATGTTCCATAATTTTCTCCGTTGAAAAATATCAAAAAGAAAATGTCAGATAAATGAAAATTACGTAATTGTGCACTTTTTTTCTATATTAAGTTTAGGTTATTTCAAGATGATATATTGGTAATTTCAAATCCAAATTACGCTTTTTTCATTTTATAATATTATATAATTCTTAAATAACAACATTTGTAGGTCTAATTTGAAAATATTTACGAGAATTTACGTGCTTTCAATTAAAAGTATTACTATTGAATTCAGCAATTTTCATTCACTAAATAAAGAAAATATTAAGAAACGGATAGTTTATATGTGAATAAATTTTCGAAAAGTATTTTCTCTTCTAGAAACGCTTGTTTTCCGCTCATTTTTACAAAATGTTTACATGCTTACAGCAGGATGTAATTGTTGATAATAATTGTGAAATTGCTTCAGTAAGGGCTTTTGAAAATCATCGTTTTAAGGGAAAGTAAAAACCTTAAGAGCATTTGGGGAATCTGTTTCGTTTTATGTAATGTTTCATAATTTTCTTTATTGAAAAATATCAAAAAGAAAATGTCACAAAATAAATGAAAATTACGTAATAAAATTGTGCACTTTTTTTCTATATTAAGTTTAGGTTATTTCTTAAATTACAAATTAATTCTTAAATTACAAAATTTGTTGGTCTAATTTGAAAATATTAACGAGAATAATTTACGTGCTTTTAATTAAAAGCATTACTATTGAATTCAACAATTTTCATTCACTTAATAAAGAAAATAATAAGAAACGGATAGTTTATATGTGGATAAATTTTCGAAAAATATTTTCTGTTCAAGAAACGCTTGTTTTCCGCACATTTTTTACAGATTTTTTACATGCTTACAAATGGATGTAATTGTTGAAAATTAATATGAAATTGTTTTAATATGAGCTTTTGAAAATCGTCGTTTTAAGGGGAGGGGAAAAACCTTACGTAAAAATAAGAACATTTGTGGAATCCGTTTCGTTTTATGGAATGTTCTATAATTTTCTTTATTGAAAAATATCAAAAAGAAAAATATCACAAAATAAATGAAAATTACGTACTAAAATTGTGCACTTTTTTCTATATTAAATTTTGGTTATTTTAAGAAGATCTATGGAAGATTGGAAAATAAAATGACGGTTTTTCGTTACATAAAATGTTAACGGAGAATCTCTTTAAGATGATGCATTATTGCATAATTTCTATGAAAGTAAAATGTAATATGTAATAAAAATAATGCATTTCTTGTTAGATAACTTCAGTCTATTAGTACGAATATATACACATTAAATTGTTGCTAAGAAGTTAACAAATTCGTATATATTTCTTCTATATTAGTTTGAATGATAATTTGCAATTGATATTGTTACGTAATATTATATAATTGTTAAATTAATGATGAGGTGGAGTTTCATTAAATGTAGTAAACTTCAGTCTATTAGTACAAAGTAATTTGTTGTTAACTAATTCGCGTGTGTTTCCTCTATATAAAGTTTGTTTGAGGGATGGTTAGAAATTGTTATGTAATGTTATATAAATGTTAAATTGTTGCTGTGGTAATGTGTAGCGGTTGCGTGTGAAGGGTATTTGATGGAAGGAACCGGAGGGCGGCTGCGATGATGTAATGGCGCATGTGACGTTGCCACGTCGGCACAACCGAAATTGTTGTTCGAGGGGGTTGTGGAGGGGTCGTCGGGTGTTCCACGTTGCATAACAGCTAGCAAACAGCGTGCAGCAACAACGGGCGAAAGAGAGGAAGAGGCATTGAAGAAGACGGGGGAGCACATGTGGCACATTACAAAATGGAATGCGCTCGGCGGAGACGCTTTTAGCATCGGACGTCGTCGGCGTCGGTCGGGCGGCGCCGCGTGACGTCATCGGATCGCCGGCGCTGGATTGGCGATGGGCGGAGTCCCGACCAGGCGGGTCGAAGACTGGCAATGGAACGACCGTGGATCGACTAGTGTTCTTTCAATTGTTGCGGAGCGAGTACGTTGCTGTCGGTGAACGAAAACGGGTGCCGCGAATTTCGAATTCCGGTCAGATCGTTGCGGTACCGGAAGTGGGATACCTCGATCCATCGTCATCTCAAATTTGGAGGAAATCGGAGTGCGGCAAGTGGCAGAAAAGCACCTCCGAAGACGGGAATATTTTAACATGCAATACACCACTATCTGTGTATGTAGGCGAAGCGACGTTGCCGGATCGACGCGCGCACGCCACATCTACGTTGCCACAGCGCACTTGGATTTTTAAAGGCAATGTGCTTGTTGGAATCGTTTCCACGTTTTGACACTCTCGCCACAAACACCACCTTATAGGTACGATACAATTGTTATTACTAAATATCTAAAACAATCCATCACCAAAGATTTATCCCGAATCCAAGACTACCAACCGCCACGCAGCCAACCCCCAAAAAATAACAACAATAAACAAAAGAATCCTATAGGTAAACAATCAACTCATTCCATAAACACACCCTTATAAGTAAATCATAAATAAATTCTCATTTATTTATTTAAAAATCTTTCCAATTGAATTTATTTATTTGTTAATTTATTTATTCTTTTTTTTGGCGCAAAGCTGAGCCCTTCCACCCTATATACCCTACTTCCAGAGACCCAGCATGCTCTCACCATTGAATTTTAGGGGTCGTCATATCCGTCTCGCTCCGACCCATCCGCTCCCTCCCTCTCTCTCTCTCTGTCGCGCCCCTCGGCCACCCCGAGATAAGAGAGAAAGAGACCCGAAAGAGGGGTGCACGTTAGGAAAAAAAAAGTATAATATTAAAACGCCGAGGGGATTCCGCATTTCGAAAGTGATTCATGCGGAGGGCCCTTTTTCGGCTCTGCTCCTCCGTGAGCATGTTTATTGCACGTGATGCTATTTTTGTTGAAAGAGAGATGATGCTCTGCTCTAAGGAAGAAGAAGTAAAAGTAAGTGTTCCTAGGCAACGAAGGGGATTTGTGGTTATTTTTGCAGCTGTTGCTGAAACCTGGCCTCCTCTGGTTCTCTCTGATATGACAGCCAGTGGTGGTGTCAGCGCAGCGCTCCAAGAATAAGTACTTCTTGCTTTTTTTTTTCTTTCTTCTTCTTGTTGTTGTTGTATTGAAGACGTCGCCCCCCGAGTTTTCCGCGCTCCACGGTAGCAGGCTCACAGAAAGCCGGGGAAAGCGTGCGCCGCCGCCGCCTCCGCAAATCCTCATCCTCCCGCTCCCAAAGGATTCCAATCCGTTACATCAAGTGTAATTTATGTATCGCTGCCCGGCGATCTACAACCCTCCTGGTGAGGATGCCCGGTCTGTCTGTAATTAAGGACCCTTTTTTTTTCATAAAATTGTATAAACCTTCTTTTAAAACACTACTTGCACCCTAAAATTTAACATATTTCAACTGTCTGTTTTCAAACTGCATCTTTAAACTATGTAAAACGCACAAGGTAAGTATTTTACTATATTGTCAATAACATGTCAAGGTTGTTTGACCAAACCTTTCGTTCGATCATAACTCCTATTGTCAACCAGAAACACGTGTTGCGGTTAAATCAAAAACATATTACGTCTCATATTCATAATTGGATAAATTCTATTTAATCGATGAATGTGAAGATATAAATCAAAGACATCTCATATACCTGTCAATTACGTAAACTTCAGTTCAAAACCAATTAGGATTTTTATCGCTTTTATAACTCATCTCAAACTAGTTTTATGATCATTTATTTTAATGACATATTTGCTTACAAACAAATAACTAGAACACTCATTTAAGTTACCTTTAATATATTACCATAAACACTTAAAAGTAACATGAAAGATATAAACCACTTGTTAAGAATTTTTAAAGAACGAATCTGAAAATGTTAAAACTTTTTAAATACATACGAAAGATTCGTGCAAATACTTTAATTTGTTGATAATTGTCGTTGGAAAGGTAACTGAAAACGTGTTAGATTTAAAGAATATCAAATCTACCTGAAAGCAAACAGTAGTAAAAATCTATTAATTTTTTTGATAAAAGACCTTCTAGAATAAATCAATTGAGGAAACATCCAATTTGACTTGTTTTGAGACGTGCGATGGAAATTTTTGAAGAACAGTTAACAACTATGTACCTGGACTTCGGTTTGCATCGTCTTTTGTAAAGAGGAAACTGAACGACTGTCGATAATCTCCTTTGTGTCCGAGCATCTGAAGCGTAACGAAACGGTGGTAGTATAATGCGGCTAACGCCGAAGGAAGAAAGAAGATTTGTTCAGTATGCGATAAGGATGTTCCTGCAGCTTTTGCGGAGAAAAACCATCCCCGTTTCGATTCCGTTAGAAATTGTTTACCCAACTTTTACTTTCTCTACCGTATTTATGGCTGCAATCGTCGAAGAAAGTTTAATCATCCCTGAAAGAACGATCGTAAAGCTATCGGTGTTTACAGCTTAGCACTTGAATTCGCTTTAATCCTCCAACACAAATAAATTACTTAATCTCTGTTTGAGAACCTATGCCGATTCAATTTGTTATTATATAAAGATTTATATACCTTCAAATGGATTAGCTGTAAAGTTTTACGATTAGGACAAACACTTATTAAAGAAACCCAAATAATCTATCATTATTGTTATTATCACTTCTTTGTAACTACAAATATGTAGAAAACTTCAATCAATTTGTAATTATATCAAGATTAAGATGATCTTTATACCTTCAAATGGATTAGTAAGCTATAAAGTTTTACGATTAGGACAAGTACTTATTGAACAAAACCAAATAAGCTATCATTATTGTCATCATTACTTCTTTCTCATCATAAAATTATAGAAAACCTCTAAACAATCTGCAATTACGTAAAGATTTCTACAGCTTCAAACATGTAATGGCTCAAAGAGCTCAAGCTCGCAAAAAGCCAACAAAAAAGAACAAATAACATAAATCCTGTAACAAGTTCACATTAATAAAGAAATTTAAAACTGAAGTAAACTATAAAGTATTACAATTATTACAAACTTTTCTTGAAAGAACACAAATAAGTTATCATTACTATTAGTTGTACTTTTTTGAAATTGCAAATTTGATGAAGAGATGTCTATCCAAAATGCATAATCTCGGTGTGAGAAGACGAAAATAAGATAACAGCTCGACGATAAGTTGGATTGATGGTACTGTAAACGTGGTCCCATCAAGGGGAAAAACTGAAAAGAAAAAGATAACGGGACGTCGCCTGAAATGGCGATAAACATGGTCCCATCCGTTACAAAAACAACAACACAGAACTTAAAACCAGAGGATGAAAGAAACATTCAATTTTCATCCTTATGAATAGCAATGAAATGAAGTTAAGTTAAGTGTTCACGTTTAAATGATAATCGCGTTTTCCATACAAAATGAGATGCAAATGTATTTTAAAACGATCTCATATTATACAAGATTTAATTGCAATCCTTATTTTGATACAGAATTAACAGATTTCCTAGCAATTTGTAACTTTAAATTTAATTTACGTAATAAATATCAAATTTATTCTTAATACAAAAATTTCTAATCTTTTTGAACACATTAGATTATTTATATTTAATTTGTATACCTTCATTAAAAGTTAATTAACAATATTATGTAATAAATATGGATTATGAAAATAATCGAACAAGTCAAACAAATATCAAAGTCAGCTTATTGATTGAAATAATTTTCATTCAACGTGGAGAAAGCAGCAATTTATGTTGTGTGTGTGTTTTTTGTTTGTTAGACAGAGTAATTAATTAAATTTTCATGCATTATTATATGCTTTTTTTTATTATTTATTTAGCTCTTTATTTTGAACCCTTGCCGCCAGGCTTAGAGGATAATTCAATTAGGGGGTTCCCCTCCTGGCAAGGATCCCACTTCGTTTCTCTCTACCACCACCCCCCCATACCCCTTCGACCACCCTGCTGACCCATGAATTGTTAATGCCTCTGGAACACACACATTCATGCATATAAGCCTACTACTACTGCTGCGATGGGGACGACTTTAACCCTCGTTATTTCACTAAGTGCACGTTATTACAGGAATGTCACAAGTGCAAATGAAACGGCCGTATCGTATCGATTCTACTTCCGCCACTGTTCAAATATTGATCTTCACGATCGGTAGAATAACCTAATCAAGTTACCAAATTACAATCAACTTAACAGAAAACTTACTTTTAAATGATAATTTAAACATGCAAATAAATAATGTCCAATTTTGTTTTCGCAAAATATAAATAGTCTATGGGATTGGAGGATAATTGCAATTGACCGTAGCAATAGTCGATTAGTATTAAGAATTTTATGTTAGCTGTAATCCGAATTTAGGATTAGTAAAGTTTTACTTACTTTATTAATAGTGAAGTAGTATAGTTTGGATGATAATTGAATGCTTTAACATTTAAAGGCTTTTTACAACTATACACTTAATCTTAGAATATCGTCTGAAGATGAAGACATTCCGAAGATTTAGAACTTTATTTTAGCTTAGGATTAGTAACGTTGTACGTGCTTTATTAATAGGACAAACAGTATATATAAAGTAGTATAGTTTGGAGGATAATTTAATGCTTTAACATTTAAAAACTTATTAACTTCTATCAACTGTACACTTAATCTTAGCAGTATTATATCAGTATCATCTTAAGATGAAGACATCCCGAAGATTTAAGTTATTTTACTGATCCTAAATTGGGATCAAATGAATTTTGGATTAGTTAAGTTTTACTTACTTTATTAATAGGACAAATAGTCTTTGTGAAGTAGTATAGTTTGGACGATAATTGAATGCTTTAACATTTAAAGACTTTTTACAATTACACACTTAATCTTAGAATATCTCCTGAAGATGAAGGCATTCCGAAGATTTAGAACTTTATTTTAGCTTAGGATTAGTAACGTTGTACGTGCTTTATTAATAGGACAAAGTAGTATAGTTTGGAGGATAATTTAATGCTTTAACATTTAAAAACTTATTAACGTCTATCAACTGTACACTTAATCTTACATCAGTATCATCTTAAGATGAAGACATCCCGAAGATTTAGTACTTTATTTAAATTATTTTACTAATCCTAAATTGGGATCAAAGGAATTTAGGATTAGTCAAATTTTTACTTGTTTTATTAATAGTACAAATTTTCTATGTAAAGTACTATAATATTTAAAGACCTCTATCAATTGTAGACATATTATTTGCTATGAGTAACATTTGAAGATTTACTAAAGATCAAGAATTTTATTTGAACTGTGAATGCATAATAATTATGTTCGGGGATAACTTCTTCTGCAGCTGGAGTTGGTTGCCCCCGTCGATCTGCTGGCATCGGGCCAACGAGCTCGAGCCGTAAAGTTTAATATTTATACGTGGTCGGATCGATAGAACGAATTGGACAAAACTGTCCATAGCACGCGGGGATTTCTAATAACGTCCGCAAATACGGCATTTCATCAATCAATCGATACTAGAAAAGACACACTCAGAGTTTCATTTTTTCATGAACTTTATAATTGAAAATTGTAAAATTAATTACTATCCCGAGAAAGATTTAAAAATTAATCAATATTTTAATTACTAATTATTTATGTATTACTAAGTTGCTTATATTAAAAGAAATTAGATAATTAAGTGAAATAATTAGATAAACTGCATTGAAGCCCAATTTGAGCGTTTATATAATAAGCTTTAGTTTTTTGTTTAAACCGTTTGTTTTAGTCAGTAATTGATGTGTTTTCAAAGCTATTACAGACTATTTACTATCAGTAATGTTTCCTAAAAAAAAAACAATATTATTGTAATTTTCATTTTTTTTTAATTAATGAATTGTTAAATAAAAAGGAACATATAAATTTAGTCTCATTCAGATATAATGAAAAAAAAAGAAACAACAAATTGTATAATTTTTAAGGAAGTCGAGACACAAACGTAATTTTCAAACATTAAGTCGAATAACGTAAACTCAGCTCGGAGACTTTCCCACGGTAATTACTTTAGATTAATCCGTCTACTACTTGCACAAAATCTTTGATTACTCCGTGATTTTGGTTAACTAGTATTAACATAACATTAAACTAATTTTCCTCGTTAACTGTTTTATTGCGTTCAATATCGAGCGCACAAATACGAGAAAGGAACGGAGGTATATGATGTTTAGTTAACATCCTCAATTAACGAGTTAAATGTTATTTCCACGCTCGAAACTCGTTCTGATGAAACTTTGCGTTTTTTTTTTGTTTTGGACGATTGTAATTGAATCCGATGGAATAATGAGGGTTCTAATAGCCGAGTTAATGATAATAATGTTGAGTGAAATTAGTTGATGATTGACCTTCGGTTAATTACTGTTTTTGAAAATTGAGCCTCAGTATTTACATACTTTGTTTATATATAAACGTACGTTAATGGATGGATTAAAAATACTAGTAAAGTGTACTTTTAACTTAAACTGGGAGATATTCTTGTAGTTTACAATCTTGTTAATGGTTAGTTAATAATAGTGAATTAAAGATCTTATATCATTATTTAAAGCAATATTGAAATAGACTTCCATTCCGTAATAAATTGAAGATCGATTAAGACTTTATGGGAAGATTGAAATATTGAAGATCAATGGGTTATGTGTGTTTTGAATGGAAATATAAGCTACATTTTGTTGCAAAGTCGATAAAATTTTGCGGCGTTAGAGGAACAGGATTGAATTGTAGTATAGAATGAATGCGCGTATCTTTATCTGGCGGTTCGCGGAAAATCTCGCGCTTTTCCTATCCCTCTCGCTCGGACACGTGCATCCCGGCATGCCCGTATCTCCTTTCCTCTAATGCCATTGTGCTCGGCGATAAGGTGTGTATGTGTGCATGTATAGAAATGGAGCGATAAAGGCTCCCAAGTTCTAGGTCACGTTGCAATTTTAGTTTTATTTTTGTAGCATTGCTGCATGCACGTAACTGCCTGCATCTGGAGAGGAGGAGGACGATGATGATGAGGATACAGCACCGCGTCTCTTTGTTGGGAAGCGCGTCGCTCGCTCCTAAAGCATCAATTGTCGGCGGTGGACGTTTACTAAGCATAATTGCACGCCATTATTTTATTGTTTTTGTCGTCCTTTTTTTATTATTATTATTTTCCGAGCGCCTTAAATAGATTCCCTTGTGTTTGACGCTTTATGCTGACCACGTTTCGTGCCGTTGTATTTGTTGTTGTATAAATACGAGTGCGACGTTTGAGGGATTCACGGCAAGGTCGCAAGTTCAAGTGCCACGTGGCTGCGAAGGGCCAGGTAGCAGGAGAGCAGCAGAGTGGTGGAGGTGGGCGGAGCGCCCTTCGATAGTCCTTCTAGGGCCCTCCGCTCCGCGTACAAATCGCGCCACTTCCCGAGCTCCCTCTCTCACCCTCCGACAATTAACCGAGGGTGGATGTATCGACCAATGAGGCGACCGCACCTAAAAAGGGCACCCCCCTGCTAAATCCGCAACACACACACTCGCTCTCATCTAAATAAGGGATCCTTCTCCAACGATCCCTTTTTTTTTGCCCAAAACCAATGTTTGCATTCAACAATCTGCCCTTCAATATTTACCTACAAGTCTTATAAATATTTCAACAGTACCTTCAAGTATAACAAAACTATCATTTAACTGTGCAAGATTTTCAGAACCTACAGTACTTTCAATTTTTTTAATGTTCTCCCTGAAATCGAAGTTTTATGAGCAATAATTGTCACCTACAAAATTTACTTCTAACATGCAAAGTTTCTCAATATTTCTGTTTCTAAAACAATCAAATTAAAAATAATTATCTATTTAAGAATTCATACTTATAACAAATATTTCATACAACTATTTCAGGATTTTCAATGTTTTTAAGAACATTCAATAATTATGTAAAAAATCTCGCTCTCATCTAAATATCCAACGATCCCTTTTTTTTTAACCCAAAACCAATGTTTGCATTCAACAATCTGCCCTTCAATATTTACCTACAAGTCTTACAAATATTTCAACGAATTCAGACTCTACAGTACCTTCAATTATAACAGAACTATCATTTAACTGTGCAAGATTTTCAGAACCTACAGTACTTTCAATTTTTTTAATGTTCTCCCTGAAATCGAAGTTTTATGA